CCCCACACACACACACAACTTGTCAAGGTGCGTTCTCTGCGTTCTCTTCATCAACCGCCCCATCGCCCCCTTCCACCCCCCCTCTTAACTTGTCAAGGTGCATTCTTTTCATAGACCGCCCACCCCCTTCCCCCCCTCCTCCAACTCGTCAAGGTGCGATCTCTTCATCACCTCCAACTTGTCATCGTAACCAACTAGGATTGGAGCATTTGTGTATCCAGCACACCGTAATCTCGATCTGCTTGACAACCATCTGTTCGGAGTTCATATAGAAAAAGAAAAACAAACGATCAGCACAGAATGCAGTGAATGGTGAGTGGTGGGGTGACATCCTTTCCCCAAAACCGACACCCTGCCCAAGGTTCACCAGACATGATTCACCATGGATGCTCATACCTACTACCGCCTGGTTGGCGACCAGGTCGCCACAACTGTTCTTCAGACTGAACCAGTCTAACCTCCATCGTTTGAACCCTCGAGAACACCACACGTGCGCACAAGCAGGAAGTCCGCAGCTGGAGAATGTCAGCACTGGAGCAGCACTCTTCTGGCGCTGATCCAGGCTTCTCTCTCTCTCTCTCTCTCTCACACACACACACACTTCTCTCTCTCTCTCTCTCTCTCTCTCTCTCTCTCACACACACACACACTTCTCTCTCTCTCTCTCTCTCTCTCTCACACACACACACACACACACACACACACGTGCGCGCACGGCAAATAAGTTTCTCATACTTACTCCCATTCCCATCACGGGTTTGGGCTGACACTCTGCTAGGATTGCTTTCTCAGGAGTGTCACAAAATCTGTGCGATGTGGCGAGTCCTTAATTCATCAGCCATATGCTCCAGTGCCGACGAGCTACTGGCAGTCGTCAACAAGACAGTGGCATGGTCAGGGTGTTTTGGACTTGCATACAAGCAAGCAAGTGCACACACACACACACACACACACACACACACACACACACACACACACACAGACAAGCACGCGAGTGCACACACACACACACACACACACACACACAAGCACACACACACACACACACACAAACGCGCGCGCACACAAACACACACACAATGAGTTCCACGTGTGGCTGTCATTCTCAAGTTGTTTGTCCTTTCTGTGTTTCTTTTTCCCGAAGTACTGTGTTATACTGAGCACCTTTAAGAAGTGCTAAACAGTAGGTGCTCCATGGTTTGGAGCGCCTGCAGGACTCTCAGGGGAGCCACTCTATCCTTGACATCTGTGAGATGCATCTGGTCTGTGGGTGATGACAGACATTCATCGCCATGATGCCCTGGCTCAGCTGGTGGGCGAAACAAACAGTCTGCACTGTTCTCCCGCGATGCGAGAATGGATGTGCTGCTCTGCTCTGTGCAGAATGTGTAAACTGCCTCGTCTGCGATCCACCGCTGCCTTGCTGCTTGTCCTGCTTGCTTTGTGCGTCGCCGTTGCCATGCTGCTGTGTTTACTTGCGGTGTGGCTATGGTGTTGGTGCTGCCCAACTGTGTGCCTCGCCTTCTTCATCCTCCTTTCCGTGGGCAACGAGTAGTTTGGCTACCTCGCTGGTGTTTCCGTGTGCATCACTGCGCCGTTGCTGTGCGGCTCGTCCGCTTGCCCTGTCGTTCCCTTGCACTTGTTTTTGGCATCGTGCAGCGTGTTGCCTCAGCAGGGCTGCCTGGTGCTTCGCTGAGTTGCTGCCTGCTGCTATGTTCCGCTCGGGCCGTCGGGACAGTCTCTGCCTTCAACATGGGTCAAAAGGGTTCACGACCCAAAAACCACCAAATGGCAAATCATCAAAATATACGGAGATTCCGCAGATGGTTCAGGGTTCAGCCTTCTAATGAGTCGGCGCAAACTCAGAACAACTCAGAACAAGACAATCTACTATCATCAGTTTGTTTTTTTTAAGCTGGCCCTTTGTCTTTCTTCTAKKWYTYTTTTTTTTTTTTTTTTTTTTTTKYTTGCTTGTTGTGGTCTTTTCCCTGCTTCGTCTGCTGGTGTTGTGTGCCCTGTCGAGGGTTCGACCTCCCGATGAGTCCATGCAACTCCGACGAAACAATCTATCAACAGTTCATTTTTTCTGCTCCCTTTTTTTTTTTTCTGGTACTCGTTATTTTTTTCTGCTTGCTTGTTGTGGTCTTTTCCCTGATTTGTCTGCTGGTGTTTTGTGCCCTCCCTCCTCCTCCGTGCCCTCCAGCCTGTGTTGCGTTGCTGCTTTTTGCCTGTGCGTTTCCATTTTTGCTGTCTTTTTCTTTTTCTTTGTTGCCTTTAGACTCGACAGCACTCAGATGCATATTCTCCTCCTGAGGTGTTGCAATGCTATGGTGTGCGTGCTTTTTGCCATGCTGAGGTCTCCGCAATGTGTCTTCACAACTTCACAACTTCACACATCTCTCTCTCTCTCTCTCTCTCTCTCTCACACACACACACACACACACCCCTCTCTGTCTCTCTCTCTCTCTCTCTCTCTCTCTCTCTCTCTCTCTCTCTCTCTCTCTC